GTAAGGTGGTGGGAAAAAGCAATACACGCCATGGATGTACACAAGCGGCGCCTTGCCTTGCTCGGGGAAAGTTGGACTTGGCTTCAGCAGCACCAGGGCGACCAAGCAAAGGGACTCGATCCTAGCCCCGTCTACTTACATATGCTAGACCGATACCTGAACATGCGGCTGCTACGTGATTCGGAACAATCTGGAGCGGGAAGGCCTCGTCACCAGCATTACCATATTATTAATCCTCTTCCCACTCCTACGGTTGTATCCTTCTTTCCTTTTCAGAATCACATTGCATGTGCGGAGTTAAGTGACAACATGGCATTGGCAGGGTTATTCGTGAAGGCAATCGGCCTCGGGGCAGTCCTTCTCGTCACTCGATACGTTTTGGCTTACTTACAATCCCCACTCAAATCTATTCCCGGTCCGTTTCTAGCCAAATTCTCGGATATCTGGCGTTTCCTGAATCACTATGGGCAAACTCATATTGAGACCCAGAGGAAACTTCATGAACAGCACGGCGATATCGTTCGTCTCGGGCCCAATACCGTCAGTATTGCCGATGCCAGTCTAATCAAAACTATTTACAATACCCGTGGGACGTACTTGAAGGTAAGCGCATGGAACACGGCTGCCATTCGGAACGATTGCTGACACCATAATAGAGCGATTACTACGTAAGACATGGGCAGTCTTTCTTAGAAGTGGATCATGCTAACCCTCCTTCGGTCTATCAACGACGCCCTTCAAGATGGGCATCTCATTCAAAATATCTTCAGTACGCGCAGCAATGAATTCCACTCCAAGAATGTCAAGCCAGTTCAAAAGCTGTACAGTCTCCAAAATGCTCTTCAGATCGAGAGTATCATGGACGACAACCTCCGTACCCTATGCAGTCAACTGGACGCCCGCTTTGTGGAAGGCGCCAACAAGGACCAGACATGCGATATTGCTGATTGGATCTCATTCTTCGCATGGGACTTCTTGGGTGATATGACCTGGAGCAAGCGTATTGGCTTCATGGAACAGGGTATGGATGTTGGCGATATGCTTGGAACCGCTGAACGTGTCATGCGCTATTTCTCCGTGGTACGTTCTACGTTGACTTAAAAAATTCGTTTAACTGTCACGATTGCAAAAGTTCTTACTGAAATTCGCCAGGTCGGCCAAATGCCTGCTCTCGACAAATGGCTCGGAAAGAACCCTAAGTGGCCCCGCTCGCTCTATAAGTTCGATGATTTCTCCGTTGCTGCTGGCTTCTCCGTCGAGCGCTTCATGGAGCGTATGCAGAACCCTGAACTTGGAAACGGAAAGAAGGACTTTCTCAATGGCTTTCTCGAAGCGAAGAAGGAGTTCCCGGACCTTGTCACCGACAACGAGGTTATTGGATACATGATCATCAACGTGAGTGTTCCATGGCTGCACTGTGGCGTGAGTAGAACTAAGACCGGTCCTGTAGATTCTGGGCGGTGCCGATACCCTTGCCATTGTGATAAAAGGTATCTTCTATCACATCCTCAAGTCATCAGCATCCAAAGAACGACTCGTCAACGAACTCCTCTCTGCAGGTCTTTCCTTCCCTACATCATATACTGGCATCGAACAGCTACCCTACCTGGATGCATGCATCAAAGAAGGTCTCCGTATGCATCCCGTCGTAGGCCATATTCTCGAGCGCGTCGTCCCTGCAACTGGTCTTCCATTGTCCAACGGGACGACATTGCCGCCAGGAACAATTGTCGGTGTGAATCCATGGGTTCTTCATTACAAGGAGAGCATTTTTGGTGCGAAGCCCCATGAGTTCCGTCCGGAACGATGGCTGCAAAGTGAGCACGAAGAACCCGGCGCGTACGAGGCCAGGATCAAGAAGATGAAAGACGCAGATATGTCGTTCGGAGGAGGCAACAGGATCTGCCTTGGCAAACCATTGGCACTGGTAGAGGTCTACAAGGTCGTTGCGACGGTATTTGGAAGATATAAGGTACGTTTTGACTTCTTCTGGGTGTGGATGTGAGTGCTAATGTCTCAAAGATTGAGCTTGAGGATCCAGACAAGGAGTGGGATCTGCACAAACAATGGTTCGTGTGGCCGCATGACATCAAGGTCAAGCTGAGTCCACTTGAAAGCTACAGCGCGCCATGAGTATCTCCATGCGGCACGGCACCAAGATGATAGTGAGCGAAGCATGGGATACACCCACACACAGTTTCGATGTACCTGGATAAGGCGATCTTGCAATACTAGATTACCAAGGGAGTCTGCGATGTTTTCCTGGCGTGCTTGTGATCTTCGCGCGTGTGGATTTGCGATCAGTGACACTGCGTGCCCCCATGAACTTTGTTAGACATGTAGAGCTCGAATGTATTGTCGCCCTCATTTGAGCATGCTGCGATTCGCGGAAGCGATCCAACATCATCGAAATCGTCATCAATCACGCTAACCTCTTCGGTCTTAGAAGCACGGCCCTTCGGCTCTGGCTTGGTTCGCCGCCATTCGTTCTTGCATCCTAACGTCGCCAACGTACGTGACTATACATCTTGTGTTTTTTCAGTTGCTTACGAAAGCTGTATCTGGGCGAGATGGTACGATTGTCGGGACTTCAGAAAGACGTCTTGTCCCTCTACCGACAATGCTTAAGAGCTGTGAAGCAGAAACCAACGGTATGTCAATTGTGACACTACGGTTACAAACACCTACTCACGCAATCATAGGACACGCAGTCACATTTCCGGGACTTTGCAAGGTGCGATCAAGTTAAATGAACGACCTGCTGCGACAGCTGACGAGTAGCTCCAGATCCGAGTTCCATAAGCACCGGGATGTCGGCAAGAAGGACTTCGGTACCATCGAATATCTGCTTCGAAGAGGAAGAAATCAGCTAGAGACATGGTCTGAGCCAGGCATCCGAGACATCCACAGGTAGCGGGGGAATGCAGGATCAAGGAACGAGGAACGAAGCGGCGCACCAGTGAGCGAGCACCCAACGTCACCGTGATACAACCTGTTAGATGAACATCACGCAATACATGACCGAATTGCGGGGTATACGGGCCTTGTGCAGCAGATACCTCACATTTCGCTCCCAAGGCGTTGGATACTTCGAGCGCGGATGTCACGTGATATGGTCTGAGCCACCACCCCGAACTTTCTAGTGCCAACTCGGCCCTCACCGAAGCAGGATCGACCGGGAGATCGCCATGATAGTTTCCCCCGACAAGAGCTGGAAGCTTCTCATCTCACGATCTCGTCTGATCGCGTACGACAACATGACGACAAACGTCGTGTTCGAAAGCTCTAGAAACTCCCCGAGCCATCTCCGAGGCTCCTCGCAGCATCATCGTCGACGCAACACCAATGCCTCTCCGCAGTGCGATCATTCCAGAAACCCATCTCTCGGGTATATATAGCCTTCGAGGCGTCTCTCAAAGCTCATCATCAGAACAACAAACAACGAGTCTTCTATGCAATCAATCCGCTCTACAATCCAACGAGTTCCTCGACAACTCAACCGCATTACCAAGCCTACGATCACAACTACTCGACACTTTTCCAACGCACCAGCAACAATGTCTCTCTTCCCACGATTCACTCAGGAATTCGCTCCTATCTTCCGTCTCTTCGACGAGTACGATAGGCAAGCCTTCCGCAACCTCGACCGCGAATTCACCAACGTCCGGTCCTTCACTCCCAAGTTCGACGTGAAGGAAACCAAGGAGGGCTACGAACTCCACGGAGAACTTCCTGGTGTCGAGCAAAAGGACATCAACATCGAATGGACCGACAACAACACGCTGACCATCTCGGGCCGCCACGAGCACGTCCGCGAGGAAGGTCAACGCCCTCAGGGCTTCATCGAGAACGGTGAAGCTTCCCAGCAGAAGAAGCTCCAGCCCAAGGTTGAGGACGACCCCAGCGAGTCCAACAAGGTCGCCAAGCAGTCCGAGAACAAGGACGTCTCCAAGCACGACGAGAACAAGGCTAAGTACTGGGTCAGCGAGCGCTCAGTCGGAGAATTCCACCGCTCCTTCGCCTTCCCTGCTCGTGTCGACCAGGAAGCTGTCAAGGCTAGTCTCAAGAACGGTATCTTGAGCATCCTTGTTCCCAAGGCCCAGGCTCCTCAGCCCCGTAAGATCAGCATTGAGTAGATCGAAGCGGCTTGAACGAACGACTTTGAATGACGATGAACGACGAATTCCCTCCTTTATTGAATCAGCGAGCGTGGCATAGCAATGGAGTTTACGATGGTTTATTGTAGTGTTTTGGTTGGTTCTGTGTTTGTAGTGGTGGCAGCATTCACTCTCTTAGTCGGACAGCGGTATTAGGAGTTTGTATGTAGTTCATCGCAATGTAACAAGTTTATATGATCCCCTGTGCCGGTTTCAGTGATGGTCTGGTTGGTCTTTGGCACAGTCTCCTCGGTATCCAATATCAAGTGTCCTCTGGTTCGATGTCTTCGGTCTTGGTAACAGCAACCACGGGTTGAGATAGTGCTAGACCGACCGGACCGTCGCTGGGATCGACACGGGGCCTATCGAACTCATCGCTTTTTACCATCTAATGTCGATGGTGATGTTTCATTGATCTTCGAGATACTCTTAATGTACGAAGTGTTAAATGATGAACTGAATTTCATGCTAGGCGGATCGTGCGTGTTGTCATACTCTGTTTGCTGCTACATAATGTGCTCAACCCGACACTGCTGATGTGTATCGCGAGGAGCCATTGTGAGACGCGTAGGCATCAAATTCCTTAACCACTCTACCACTACCTCATTCGAGACCACTTCACTCCTATACCCTCAACAAAAGCATAGCATTCCTTCAAAGCTTGCACTACACGCAACATTATATACCAGCTCTAAGCGCAGGCAAAAAATAATTTCTATGCGTCGCATCCTCCTTATTTACGGGCCCAAGACGACGCATGAGCAAAAAAAGAGTGATCATCTCGCAATTGTGGAGAAGGATGTTATGCATCCTCCGGGAGCTGGAGAGGCTGTTAGAATGATGTTGGATGGAGTGGGAATGGAATAGAACGTACTCGAACCCGGGCCAATTGCTTGGAAGGCAATTATCCTACCGTTGGACCAAGAATGCTTGATGGAAGTCTGACAAATCATGATAAACATATACTTGTTTGTTGTTCTGCTGCAAGTCGATTTGAGCAGCTACGCTTCCAACAGTGTTCGTGATACTGGCAGTCTGATGCTACAGTTATGATCCTGTGAGTAGGGTCCTGCGAGACTTAGCGCCGAACTACTTGCTACGTCGTCTAGACCGCGACCCACAATTTGGCCAGCTTGGTAACAGAGGTCCATGATCCGCAGACGTGCGGTAAGCATGTGAGACTTCATGGCAGACCTCATAGTAATATTCCGCCACGCGAAGCTTCTTAGACAAGAGAGACACGGCGCTTGTGCTTCCATAGCATTCGGCTACAAATACAAGGAGCGGACTATCCAGCTAGTATACTAAAAGCTCTCTACATAGTTCCATTCTATCAAACGCATCTGTTGCGCAGGAAATGTAGACCAGTATATCCTCCCAAATCCCATGCGCCATGCGTTGCTCAATCACCCGTTCTCGAGTTCTCGATCTTTGTTACGATGAGATCGGTGGCCCCGACCTCCGTCAATTTGTCCATGGCAATAGCGATATCCTTCCTCAGCACCATAGCCTGTACAGCCACCCAGCCATCCTCTTCCAACGCGTTGACGGTGGGAGCGCGACGTCCGGGAGTGATCTTGCGCGCGATATCGAGTTTCGATCGGTCGATGTTGTATGTGCACAGAACGTACTTTTGTGCAGCTGCGAGAAATTAGTTGTGCTAATGAATGCGGAAGTCGATGCGACTTACTGATAACACCCTTTATCCGAGCGGTGATCAGCTCAACCAGTTTGGGATCTGATGGGTGCTTTGACGTGATGAGGATGGCGCTGGAGTCGACGACTGTGGAGATGGCCTTGAGGCCTGCAGCGCGCATTGTCTCTCCTGACTCCACCAAATCGACGATACCGTCCGCCACACCCAATGCGCATGCCGCTTCAACACTGCCGCCAACGTACTTGATGACTGTCTTGAGTTTCGCATCGCCGTTGGCTTCGCCGTTTGTGTTTCCAGCTTGCTCGGCCTCGAGTTTCCGGAAGTACTGCTCAGCCAGGTTGGTGAAGCTGGTGACAACGTTCTTGCCGATCAAGTCCTCTGGCTTGGCTAGGTCGCCCTTTGCGGGGACTTGTACCTGCAGACTGCATTTTCCAAAACCGAGATCGAGGACCTCCTCTACGCCGCTGGTGGCAGTAGGTGGTGCAACGCACTCGTGTTCTGCGACTTGATCGCGCCCTGTTATGCCCAAGTCTACGCGACCTTCTCCTACGAAAGTCGGGATATCAGCGGCGGGTAGGAAGACGAGAGCGAGAGGGTGGTTCTTGACGAGTGCGATATCGAGACGGGAGTGTCGGTGGAACTGAATGTCCGAACCGTGGAGGAGGTCAAGACATGCTTGGTGGAGGCGGCCCTCTGCGATGGTTGTTAGCCAATGAGTCCAGCCGGTAGTAATGTAGGCGACGTACTCTTAGGCACCGCAAAGAGGAGACGGTCGTTCAAGCTGTTTCCCAAAAGGTCAGTCATGAAAGGAAGACTCCTGCTGCCCTGACGCGCCCTTTGCGCGATGCGCTCGATCTCACTTGCGCCTTCATTTCTGTTGGTGTACCCCATGGTCATACAAGAAGCTTATCAGAAGAAGGAAAAAGAATGGGGAAAAGAAACAATCAAAACATACGAGTTGACGAGATCCATGGCTATGAATCAAGCACGCAATTGCTAGGGTTTGTAGTATGCAGACGCGCGCTGTGCACCCTCTAACAAAGACTTGAATGGGGAATTCTGCTACGGGCTAGGCCACGAGTCCCACGTCGGCACTTGCAATTGGATGCGGGCTTGGTGCCGTGGAGAGGGCTAAATGCGCGGGCGGCGTCAGACCAGAAATGTGGGCTCGAGTGGGTGGATGTGTGTGTCGTTTTGTAGTGTACAAGATTGAGGCGCGTCTCGAATGAGTGACTCAATGAGGGGTAAGAGCTACACGTGTAATGCGCCAATGGCTGTGAACCCTCAAAAGCATGGTAACTGAGCGCGCATATCGATGGTATCGGGCTTAGGAATTCTCTGGCTCACATCATCCCAATTGGTGCAGGAAATTTGGTAGCCGTGACTGACTGGCGCGTTCAATTTTTTTTGGCGGGATGACGTTCCATCAACACATGTTGCCCCGCGTTGCGATGCGTCGGAGTTTGACGAAGCGGCATTGGCCGGCACCAACTCAATCTCAAGATGGCTGACTATCGTATCTGGACTGCGGGCTGACAATAGTACATCCAGTTTCTGCGATCACCGCTGGTGGAAGAGAGTTGATACACGCTTCACTACACTATTGTTGTGCCGTTGATCTGGAATGTTTCAACATTGGGTGGGAGGAAGTACCAGATTGTAAGAATCAGACATCTACTCTCTACGCGTGCCTATCTATAATGCACTACATATGCACTGAACCTATGCCGCTTCATCTCGAAGCACAACCGCGAAACAGAGACGTCAAGCGCAAGACGCCATGCACGCATGTTTCCCTTTTAATCCTTCCTGAAATGACCAACCGCGACTCCAAACTGAATGATGAGGAACGAACTCCAATATGAAAGGCGTATGCATAGGAAGCCTCGTCATGCCTCACATGAAGTCATCACTATAATCTGTTAGCAGTTGCAAAAGCCAGACGGGCTCAGACATGACTTACTCGCCAAAGTCGTCGTCATCGTATGCCCTAGTATCTGCCCTGACGCCGACGTCTCTGCTCGCATTGAGTGTAGTCTTGGTCTTTGCAGCCTTGCTCTTCTTTCCACCCTTCTCAGCAGCCTTCTCTTCCTTCATCTTCTCGTTGCTCAGTGTTGTCAGGCCAGATGCAATCTTCTTAATCTGCTCACTCGGCAGATCCTTAGCAATCTGCTTGGTGAACTCCTGTAGGAACAGCGAGTACTGGCCCTTCTTAGAGTTGCCAGCAATCAGAGGTGTGAGAGTTTCCCGGAGCTTAGTAAACTGGTCCTTGGTGTTGGGGTTGAAAAGAGCGAGGGAGGAAAGGTCGATGGCGTTGCCCGGGTCGGACTCGTCGGCGATGGTGATGGCTTTACCGGTACGGGCCTTGGGCGCGACGCTCAGGTCGCCAAAGAGTTCCTCAGCTTGAGCGCGCGAAGCGTCGAGTTCTGCCTGGCGCATTCGTTCGCGGCGTTCAGCCTCAGTCTCTTCTTCGTCGGTCTCGCCATCTTCTTCCATCTGCCGCCGACGTAGCGCGGCCTGCCTGTGCTCCTCGATCCTTTGCGCCTTGGACTTGTGGTTTGCCTTTGCCTCTGCGTCCGCCTTAGCCTTTGCCTCGGCGGCCTTCTTTGCCTTCTCGCGTTCGACTTCGGAATCTTCGGCGGCGTCCCATGAATCTAGTACCTATTATGTCCAATGTCAGTCCGATTGGTCGTGGCGGGGCTTGAAGTATTCAAGCGCGGGGCATGGTGGGCTGACGCACATCGTCGTCTTCTTCTTCATCGTCGAACTTGCTGCGGCGCGCGATAGGAGCCACCTGTGGGGATGTGGGAGGAGTGCTGCCCTCATCCTCGTCGTCTGCAGAACATGTCAGTCCCAAGTTTTTGCATGATCATCTTGAACCGCGCGCAGTGGCAGCGAGCATGACGTACCCCACTTTCCTGGTGCCATGGTTGCAGTTGTTTGTGAAAAGGTATGGGCTGTGTGTTGTTGGGAGTAATGTATCCAAGGGTTCCGACGGCGGCGCAGGGTTTTATGGGCGAGTGGTGTGGGTGAAGGAAATGATCAAAGGTTGACTACGGCGCAAGACAATGGTTGGGCTTCTGCAGGTGTCGCGCGTGGCTCGCTTGATCTACCAAAAATTAGCTGCCCAATCACACATGGTACGCCACATTCACTCTTTACATGCACACCTCAAATCGCTACGACCCTTGTGTTTATTGTAGGTGGATCGCAGACTAGAACTCGCAGTACAATGAAGTGATGCATGAGGAACTTTGAGATTCCATTATTGCTGTCCTGCTCACGCTAGGCCATGCTTCGGCCGCAGGCGCCTTGCAGCCAGATTGTATCAGCCATCTCATATCTACAAGACATTACTTCTTTAGCCTTTTCCTTCACGCCTGTCAAGGCTTCAAGTACAATGAAATCCCTATATCTAGCTAAACAACAAAGAAACAAGAACGGAAGATGAAACTCGAACCCAACCAGGACATTGCCAGAACATGTTGGAAGCAGACGAGTTGTTGGGAACAAAAGACCCGAGTTTACTACTCGGGAACCTCCCAGGGTCTCCAAAATTTCCACCCTTCTCTAACCTCTCTAGGGCCCTTTCGTTTCGAGCTGGAAACACCGACCAGTCTTTCGATACCGACTGTGCCCTCGGCCCGAAGGAACTTCTCTTGATCAATCTCCTCTCCGCCTTCCTCTTCATTTCCGTTGTGTAGAACAGCAGGCCAAAGCACACCTACTCCGTCACCAGCAAGCGTCGTCTCGAACTTCTCGAAGCCTTCCTTCTCTAATTTGACCTCAAGAGAGTCGAGAATCTTGTACTTTAGCTTTGTGCCGTTGGATATTACGGATGCGGCGCCGCCCCCGTCCGCTTCGGAAGAGGCGTCAGATTCGTCTGATGAGGTATCGTGATGCGCGCCATTCGCATGACCGTTGGTGAGGGCTGGTGGTTGGGGCTTAAGAATAGTAATAGCGCATCCTCCGCCTCCTGCACCTGTAAGTTTTGTCCATCCGATGCCCGTGTGATCGATTATCTCGCGGATACGCTCAAGTTTGGGATGTGAGACGCCCAAGGAGACGAGTAGCCCGTGGTTCATCGTGACGAGCTCACCGAGATGTCTTAGTGAGTCCGGAGATGTTTCATCGAAATCGGGAGATGTGAGTAGTTTGTGTGCAGATTCCGTCACTAGGCCAATAGCATTGAGGATGTTTTCTGTGAGATCGGGATGCACCTTGAGAAGGTTGGCGACCTTGGCGACTTCTGTTGCCGTACTGCGCG